CATTCTCCTCCATTCTCCTCCATTCTCCTCCATTCTCCTCCATTCTCCTCTCGGGATCCTGGGCACGCACACATGCCTAGCGTGAGTTTAAGCCACCGGGTCTGGGATGCGAACCGCAGTCGACTACGAGAGAGTCCAACGACATTAGCCATTACTCTAACTGCTGGTCCCATGTTAACCTATTTTTTAAAGGAGGGTTTGGCTCGCCCTGTGGCCTAGTGGTTAAGGGAGCTGGATCCCACATGGCCGATGGTGCAGTCTGAATCCCAGCCCCAGCAGCCTGAACAGCATGCCAGGTGCCTATATGAGCATGCCCCAAATCTGGCAGGATGCAGAAATGGAGCCGGGACCACAGCACGACCAGGCCCCATTGGAGACGCTTTCTCTGTCTTGCTCTTGCTCCCTCTGTTTCTCTGGTGAATGCACTTCCCCCTGGCAATCAAAAAACGGGGGGTTAACCCCTTCCTTTATGTGAGTTACTTTCTGGAAAATATAGTCATGAAATTCCTTTTTCAGTAAAAATTATATTTCTGGACCAGCCGGTGACATGGTAGTTAAGGCGCTGGATCACACATGGCCAGCTGCACTATTCAAGTCCCAGACCCGGTGGCTTGAAAAACACACCAGGAGCATGTGTGTGTGTGTGTGCCCAAAATCTCGAGAGGAGAATGGAGGAGAAGGGATTGTGGCGCAGCATCCCCCATAGGGGTGATCTCTCACTGCCCCTCTGTCTCTCTCTGGTGAGTGCAATCCCCTGTAGCCATTAAGAAAAAACTGTATTTCTAACATAAACATGCATATTCTGAACTCGTTGTATTTGGAAATACAGTACCAGCAGGGGATTGGTTCTGAGACCGTGTGTGGACACCAACATCCCCAGATGCTCAAATACTTTACCTAGCATGGAGTCGCATTTGTATATAACCTACACTCACCTCCTGTACCTTAAATACTCCCCAATGACTTCCAACACCCAATACATAAAACGCCAAGTAGATGGGTGTATTGTGGAGGGAGTAATGACAAGGACAGAAGTCTGCACACGCTCAGCATGGTCGAGCTGTGGTTGGTTGAATCTGTGAGGGGCACCACCGCTAATGGGGGGCTACCCATGCAATCTCGGTCCTGGGAGTGTTGGCGGTGGTCCTACTTAGCACTGGGAGGCTGGGGCAGGGCCGTGGCCATACTTGGGGCTGTGGGGAGGTGGGAGCAGAGGGCTGGGGCAGGGCCGTGGGGGTACTTGGGGCTGCAGGGAGGTGGGAGCAGAGGGCTGGGGCAGGGCTGTGTTTGTACTTGGGGCTGTGGGGAGGTGGGAGCAGAGGGCTGGGGCAGGGCCGTGGCCGTACTTGGGGTTGTGAGGAGGTGGGAGCAGAGGGACAGTGTCTGGTGTGGCCAGTCAAGGACGAGGATATTGTGGGGTGCTCGGGCACAGCAGGAACTCAAGGCCTAGGTATTCCAGAGGACGACGACAGTGATGACGGAGGAGGCCATGAAGAGCAGGTAGAGGCGGAAGAGCAGGGTGTCCATCGCGTGGCTGAACTCCACCCACAGCTCCACCAAGCGCTGCTTCCGGGCCTCATGGTCCCCCTGAACCTCCGTCAGTGCAGGACACCCGGGGAACTCGGCCTGTCCGGGACCCGGCGCCCTCCCCACCAGCTCTGCTGGCTCCTTCAGGCCTGCGGAGGGGACAGAGACTCAGCCTGGGCTGTGCAGGTCCCCTGAGGAGGGAGCAGACGGGCAGGAGCAGGAGCAGAGCCAGGAGGTGCTGGGGCCGGGAGGGCAGTGCGGCCCCCTTACCGGGCAGGTGGGTGGCGGGGAGGCCCAGGCCCTTGTTTCCCCGCTGGGGCGCAGAGGGGCAGCGCGTCCTGGGGCGGGTGCAGCGCAGCAGCAGGGAGTGGAGCCAGCCAGGCATGGGCGGCGGCTGGGTGGTGGCCAGGTGCAGCAGGTAGGTGATGAAGACGGTCTCCAGCAGGCTGAGCACCATCAGGGACAGGCACAGCGCGAAGTAGACACCTGAGGGCGAAGGAAATTATAAATACTCCAGGGCAGATTCAGCTTTAAAGTTTCCTGAAGCCTCTTTCCCGAATTCGATCCTTCCTCTGAACCCCTTCTCTCAAGTGGAGTGGCAGGGGTGCCGCTGGCGGGGAGCAGTTTGTTCATCATGAGCAGGAAGACGTTGTAGCCCAGCAGGAGGGTGATCTTGAACGGGGCGCGGTTCCCACTCTCGGCCGGCAGGTAGAAGCTGAGGGCGTCAATGGCGACCAGGAAGCCACTGGGCACCAGAAGGTTGATGACATAGAGGACGGGCCTGCGCCTGATGGCCACCTGGCGGAGGGGGACAGAGTACGTGGTGAGGCTATACCTGTGGGAGACCCGAGTAGTTCCAGCCCCTCCTTCCATGTCCTTCAGGGCTCCTTGCCTGGCAGAAGAGCAGCTGTCACATGACTCAGTACTCCCCCTTCCCTCCCCAGAACCCCAGGCCAGAGCAGGCAGGTTCAGGGAAGGGTGATGTTCTGGGGGACCCTGGGAGAGGAATGCCCAGGGCTTTCTAGTCTTGGGGCCAGAAGCGAGAGACACCGGCTCGTGGACTCAGGGAGTCTGGGAGGGAGGTCGGGGCGGAGAGGGGGACAGCCACGCCAGACCCTCTGGGCTCACGTAGAACATGATCTGGTCGAAAAGGCTGGAGCCCACAGACATCTTCGGGGTGGCCTTGTTGATGCCCAGGAGCACCCACTCCCCCTGCGTGCGGACGACGTCCTGTGAGGTGTCCACTATCTCCCACAATTCCTTCTCCATGCCCAGCAGCATGTTATCCACTGCAGGGGGACACAGATTCACTCGGCCAGTCTGCGCCGCGTCCGCTCTGCACCTGCTCCGCGGGCTGCAGCCACGAGCTGTGAGCGGCGTGGCTCCCCTCCAGATGGCCTGAAATGACACCTGGCTGCTCTGTGGTCTCCCTCCTCTGGGTTCTCAGAAGTCTGCCTCTCCTGAGTTCAGCTCCCTCCACTCACCTTCCCCCCGTCAGAAAACACCCCACTCTCCCTTTTTAATGTTTTTTTAAATGAGCTGCCCTGCGTATGCTCGGGCTGCTTTGCTGGCTGATGTCACTTACCCTGTCCGAGGCCGCCACTGCCACTTACCCGTGTAGAGGAAGGAGCTGAAGGTGAGCGTGCAGTTCTGCTGGTCGAAGGGGAAGTAGAAGATGTCCAGGTTGCAGATGCTGGTCACCCGCATGGGCTTGTTGTACGTGACGCGCCCGTCCTTAGTCACATAGGCGGAGAGGCCTTCCGGGGTCTGGTCCACGTCCATGCTAAGTGGCGGCGGGAGGCGGGCGCGTGCCCGGGCTCACATCACCTTAGCTGTCTCCCGTGAGGCCGGGCTCGTTACGGCCCTCTGCCCTCCTTCTGCCCTCCACGTTCCTGTTTCTAAGGGGGACGGCGGGTGGCCGTGACCTGGCTTCTCCCCACGTGTGCGCAGCGGCCCTGCTGACTGGGTTTGCCCTGCATGCCCTCACCCGCTCCTGGCAGACGGGGCTTCCCTCGCGCTCCCCAGCCCGGATACCCACGATTCCACGATGAAGATGTCGGGGAGCCACAGGTTCTCGGCCGTCACGGTGAGCCTGCTGATGTTGCCACATTCCTGGGGGTACCAGCTGATGAGCGGGTTATCCCAGACCTGGAGCACAGGGCGCAGAAGGACGGGCGATGGCCGTGCTGTCCTGCCCTTCGTCCCCTTGCACACACACACGCATGTGCTTTTCCCTAGATGTGCGTGCTCTGGCCGTGTGCTGCAACTTCCACCATCCCAGAAAAGGATGACGGAAAAGCCCATGTTCTCCCTCCTCGATCCATGCCAACTCAGACCCGATGCCACTCGGCCTTGTTACTAACAGTTTTTCGCAGATCACCATTAAAGTAAATGAGCGCATGGGACCAGCAGTTAGCGTAATGGCTATGTCGCTGGACTCCCACGTAGTCGACCATAGTTTGAGTCCCGGACCTGGTGGCTTAAACTCACGCTGGGCACATGTGCGTGCGTGCCCAAGATCCCGAGAGGAGAATGGAGGAGAAGGGATTGCGGCGTGACCATCCCCCCTGGGGGTGATTTATCGCTTTCTGTCTCTCTGTCTCTCTCTGTCTGGTGAGCGTACACGCCCTATAGCGAAAACCTCTCAAAAAAACCCACGTAAATGAGCACGTAGCCCGGCATTGCTTTTATTCACACCGGGAGAACCGTGCCCGCACATCGCTGTTTGTGCTGCTTTTCTGACTTCATGTCCGACTGTTCTGACACCTCTTCTCTCCAGGGTAATAACTGTCTCCCCTTCTCTAGGGGAAAAGTCTTTTTTAAAAAATAATTGTTTATTTAATTTTATTTATTTATTCATTTATTTTAATTTGACCAGTGAGAGATGCACAGAGATAAGAGAAAGAAAGTGAGAGAGCATGCCACCAGGTCCAGGACTCGAACCATGGTTGGCCATGTGGGAATGTCCATCACCCTAACCACCATGCCACCTGCTGGTCCCGCTAGCTGAGAAAGTCTTAATGGCCTTTCATTTCCCACTCAAGGGAAATCTTATGCTGGATGCTGGGTAGGTTTGGCTCCCTCCTGCCTGCAATTTCCGTACAGGTCTTTAAAGGTGACTGGCAACCCAGGAAGTTGTCTGTCACCAGCTCAAGCCCCACTCTGGCTGGATTTATCTATTCCCTCCTCACTGTCAATTTTAAGAAATTGATTTTTGCAAGTAAAGCCGGGAAACGAGGGAAGGGGGAGGCAGGAAGAAGCTGAATCTCACGTACCATGTTTAACCACAGGAAGGACGTCAGCAGCTGGAGCTGGGCATCCTGTGCAGAGGAAATGCCATGGCTCCTTAGTGCCACGGAACCAGGTCCCAGCCCACCCCGCCTTCACGTGCGAGGCGCTGAGTGACGAAGGAGGTCCGATCACAAGTCATAAAACTCAGATCAGAAACATGCTGCTTGTGTGGAAAATGTAGGTGTGAGCAAACATTATTTGTAGACTGTTCGCATAAATACGGGACCCAAGGACAAATGCCCCCCCCCCAGAAGTGTGGCTGCAGCAGCTCCTACGCACGTCTCAGCCCACAGGATGACATCTAACTGTACAGAATCCACTCGCTGCCCTCGCTGGGCCAGGCTCTGTGACAACAGAGTCCCTCGTAGCAGTGACGGAGAGAACGCGGGGTCAGACTCACCACCTTCAGGATGGCGGACAGGGTGAAGGAGATGTTGACATGCGTGGGGACGCTGTAGTTGGTGGCTGGACGGAAGGTCTTCAGCTTAAAGACAGCCTGGAAGGCAGCGGGGTCCACTCCATGTTGGTCAAAGCCTGAGCAATTGATGGTGGAAGTGTCCGCCCTTCCTGTGGAGAGCAGAGACCGGGTGAGAGAGGGCAGGGGCCTGACAGCCTCTGCAGGGAAAGGAAATGTAAAGAAAACGTGGCTGGGGAACCAGCAGTTAGCGTAATGGCTATGTCGCTGGACTCCCGCGTAGTCGACCGTGGTTTGCGTCCCGGACCCGGTGGCTTAAAACTCACGCCGGGTGCGTGTGTGTGCGTGCCCAAGATCCCGAGAGGAGAATGGAGGAGAAGGGATTGCGGCGTGGCCATCCCCCTGGGGGGTGATTTCTCGCTTTCTGTCTCTCTGTCTCTCTCTGTCTGTCTGGCGAGCGCACGCACCCTATAGCAAAAACCTCTCCAGAAAAAAAAAAAAAAAGAAAATGTGGCTGTTGGGAGAGGCCCGTGGGAACCTTCTTCCTGTGCGTCGCCCCTTCCTGCCAGGCTGGGACAGTGGCGGGTCTGGTAGGCAAATGATGGCGCGACGTGGCGAGCTGAGTCGGGGCTCAGAACTTCCTTCCCCGTCTTTGCGTCCCTGTAAGCCTACCCAAATCTGTATGCAAACAGTCACTCCAGGGAACCCTGTCCCTTCCTCGCGGCCCTGAAGTTCTGATCTTTCTCTGGCCACACCGTTTTCTCTTCAGCTCTGTCACTCTCTTTCCTCACAGTCTCAAAACAAGATTGCCCAAAAAAGTTTTTTCTCAATGTTCCCTTCTCATTTTCCTGAAAGGGCACTTTGGAGAGGAGTAAACGGGAGTGCAGGGCTGAACGCCGGGACTTCTGGAGGTGGACGTCCGGCCTCCTGCTGTGTGCGTGCTGCACACCCCCTCACGTCTGTGGGAGCCATTTCATCGTCACGTCTTGAGACGATCTCGTGGGCCATCCACCACGGGGTCAGTGGGGCCCTCAGTGAGACGTGGAAGCCCTTCACCCACCTCACCTCCACCACCCCGGGTAAGGGCAGGTGACTCCTGTACCAGGAGCCCACGCAATCCTTCCCGTGCCTCTCCCGCTGTATTTCCACACCAGCTGGTAAGAAGGTTCGTTTCCCCACGAGGAGAGATGCGTCCTGGGGAAGGAAACACTGCCCTTTCTCTCTCCAAGGTCTCCCCAGGTGAGGTGGGCAAGGACTTAGGTTTTTGTCCACAGGACCCAAGCTACCCTGTTCGGAGTTACTGTTTATATTACATTTTAGTAAAAGGGAAAAGTTGGGGGGCCAGCAGGTGGCATGGTGGTTAAAGGCTGGACTCCCACGTGGCCAGCTGCAGTTCGAGTCTGGACGGGGCAGCTCGAAAATCACACCCAGTGCATGTACACGTGTGCCCGGAGTTCTGAGAGGAGGATGGCAGGGAAGGGATTGTGGCCACCCCACAGAGGGTGATTTCTCACTTCCCTTCTCCAGATCTCTCTATGGCAAGTGCATGTGCCCTGTGGCATAAGAACCCTAAAACAAACAAATAAATAAAAGGAGAAGTCAGACGTCATGAAAGGGAGGACTCGGGAGGTGGGGACTAGAGCACAGGCCATTTGGTAGATGCCTGTGAGGCAGGCAGCAGAGGGCCATGTGTGCTGATCAGGGACACGGGCTCTCGCTCTGCTCCCCACGGGAAGGCAGCCCGCAGGTGCACAGCGCACTCGGCCCCTCTGTTCTGGGTGTCCCCCAGTGCTGGAGAGTGGGTGCTGCCCAGAAGGGCACTCTCGTCCCCTCTTCTCGCCCTGGCTTACCTTGGAGCAGAAGGCTGACAGTGAGGCAGAGGAAGACGCATGTCCTAGCAGGCCACTCCCCTTCCATGCTCTCTCCTGAACTCAGGAGGAGCCTCCACACCTTTGAGCCCAAAGGAGTCGGACCGCACCTTGGTTCCTGGTTTTGAATACTGCCCATGTCAGGTGGCCACTCCCTAGTGACAGGTTGTGGCTGGAGTGGTCACCGCAGAGTGTCCTGCTGTGTCCCTGCCCAGGTCCCAGCAGCCAGGAAGCTGGGCCAAGACGCCTGTGGGGTAGGCCCACCTGGATGAGTGGCTGTAAATCTGCGTGCCAAGTGACTGTAAGAGAAAGCAGAGGTCTCAGGGACGGGCTCGTAAGGCCACTGGGAAGGTCCTCATGACGTCCTTGGAGACATCCCACTGTGCCCTAGGGAAGAGCTCATGGACCACAGAGAGAGGGTGCTTATGCTTTCTAGTGGGCACACCTGCTCATTGTTCCTTTTTCTTTTTTAAGAATTATTTATTTAACTTTATTTATTCATTCATTCACTTATTTATTTTTTAAATTTGACCAGAGCGAGACACACACACACACACACAGAGAAAGTGAGAAAGCAAGCCACTGGGTCCAGGACTCCAACTGTGGTTGGCCACAGGGAGTGTCCAGCGTCTTAACCACCACGCCACCTGCTGGTCCCCACCTGCTAATTTTGGAAGGCATGGACACGTAGGGGCAGACAGTGCCTCAGTGACAAAGCACCTGGGCCCATGTGGGAAGATGCTGGGTTTGTGTCTGCGGCCTCCCTGAGCGTGCCAGGTCTGCAAGCAGGTGCCAGTGGTCTGAGCTGACCGAGGCTGGGGGTGGGTTGGGCAGGAAGTCTCTCTCTCTCACCCTTTCTCATGGGGGAGAAATAAACTTTTAAAAAAGAATATGTAATTAAAAAAATAATTATTTATTTTATTTTATTCATTCATTTTAATTTGACCAGAGAGAGAAAGAGAGAGTAAGAAAGGGAGCCACCAGGTCCAGGACTCAAACCACGGTTGGCCATGTGGGAGTGTCCAGCGCCTTAGCCACCATGCCATCTGCTGGTCCCAAGAATATGTAATCATTTTGATAAAATCTGCAAGTATGCTCTTTGCTAGCCGTGATGCTAGGAGTTACTGCCAATAACGCGCTGAGGAGCTCGTCGAGAGGCTGCGCTCCACTTCGGTTCCACGACCGGCTCCCAGGTCTCTGTCGCCGGAGCCCCGCGGTGCAGGACTGCAGCGTGCCCTCATGCTGTCGCGATGATGAGGTGTGCTCCACATGGTTTCTCCCCAACCCGACAGTGTTTTACCATTCTTCTAAAACAGAGTTCTCCCGGGGCTGGCAGGTGGCATGGTGGTGGAGGCGCTGGACTCCCACGTGGCTGACTGTGGTTCAAGGCCTGGACCCACTACCTTGCTATCTCTCTTCCCCCTTCTCTCTGTCTCCCCCTGGTCAAATTAAATGATAATGAATACAATTAAATAAATAATTATTTTAAAAGCAAACAAACAAACAAAAATCACCAGCGTTCTCCTGCTTATCCTTCCATCACTCATAGCTCTAAAATCTGCAGCCCGGGGCCGTCAGGGAGCGTGTGTGAGCAGGCCACTGATGAGCTTTATGAAAATGCCTGCACTGAGGTAAGTGTGTGTGTACGTGTGTCTAAATGCTCCCAGAGGTTCTGATTCACTCCACACAGAGGAGCCACAGAACACCAACAGGAGGATCCCTCAGACCACCCTGTCCGAGCTAGAGCCACTGCCTCCCCACACACCCAGCCTGGCAGCCATCAGTCTGCTCTTCATGTCCATGATCTGGTCGTTTTAAGAATGTTATTAAGTCGAATGATGCAGTATGTAGCCCTCGGGGATCAGCGTTTTCCCTTGGTATGACTCCCCGAGGATTCATCTGCGCTGTTGCATGCGTCAGTAGTTCTTTACTGAGAAGCAGTCCATGGTAGAGGCTCGCCTGCCAGAGAACAGCTCAGCTGTGCACAGGACCTGGTCGTTACATACAAAGCTACCCTCAACTCTCGGATATAGGTTTTGTGTGAACACGTCTCCTGCAAAGAAATGCCCAGAAGTGCAATTGCTGGAATGCCCGAAGTGGTATTCTTTTTTTTTTTTTTTAAGAATTATTTCACTGGGGCCAGCAGGTGGCATGGTGGTTAAGGGCATTGCACTGCCACATGGCTGACTATGGTTCAAGTCCTGGATGTGGCAGTTTGCTTTCTCTCTCTCTCTCACTCTGTCCCTCTCTGGTCAGATTAAAACAGATAAAGTTAGATAAAATAATTATTTTTATTTTTTAAAAAATATTAATTTAATTCTATTTATTACTTTTTAATTTTATGAGAGAAGGAGAGGAAGAAAGAAAGAAAGAAAGAGAAAGAGTAAGCCACCAGGTCCAAGACTCGAACCGTGGTCAGCCATATGAGAGTCCAGCACATCAACCACCATACCACCTGCTGGCCCTAAATAAAATAATTACTTAAAAAAAAAAGAATTATTTTATTTAACTTTATTTATTTATTTATTTTAATTTGACCAGAGAGGGACAAAGAGAGAAGAAAAGTAAGAAAGCAAACCACCAGGTCCAGGACTTGAATTGCAGTCAGCCATGTGGGAGTCCACTGCCCTTAACCACCACACTACCTGCCAGCCCCCACACAATTACATGTTCAGTTCGTTTGTTTCAATTACATGTTTAGTTCGTTTGTTTGTTTTTTGAGAGGTTTTTGCTATAGGGCACGTGTGTTCACCAGGCAGAGACAGAGAGAGACAGGAAGGGGGAAATTGCCCCCCCAGGGGGGATGGCCACACTACAATCCCTTCTCCTCTATTCTCCTCTTGGGATCTTGGGCACACACACACGTGCGCGCGTGTGCCTAGTGTGAGTTTTAAGCCAACGGGTCTGGGACTCGAACTGTGGTCGACTTCATGGGAGTCCAGCGACATAGCCATTATGCTAACTGCTGGTCACTGTTTTTTGAAAGAGATTTTTGTGATAGGGTGCGTGTGCTTGCGGAGAGACAGAGACAGAGAGACAGAAGGTGAGATGACCATGCTGACCATGTTGTAATCCCTTCACCTCTATTCTCTTTTTGGGAGTTTGGGCAAACACACACACACACACACACACACACACACAAACACACATGCATGTGTGCGCTCACCTAGTTTGAGTTTTAAGCCACAAGTCTGGGACTTGAACCGCAGTCTACTACGTGGGAGTCCAGAGACAACCATTATGCCGTCTGCTGGTCCTTCATGTTTGGTGTTTTAAAAACTGTAATACTTCGGGCCAGCAGATGGCATGGTGGCTAAGGTGCAGGATTCCCACATGTCAATCACAATTTGAGTCCCAGACAAGATGGTTCCAGAATCGCGCTGGGCACATGTGCGTGCATGCCCAAAAATTCTGAGAGGAAAATGGAGAAGAAGGGATTGCGGTGTGGCCATCTCCCAGAAGGGTTATTTCTCACTTTCCCTCTCTTTAGCAAGTGCATGCGCCCTATGGCAAAAACTCATAAACCAACAACAGATAACAAATCCATCCTCATTAATTCATGAGACTTTTTTTGGTCTGACTTTTAGTGAGTTTGTTTTTCTTTAGAACACCATTTCACAGTGAAGAACATCATAGGCAATTCAGGACACACTTCCAGAGTAACCAGTGGAGCGGGTTTCAAATGCTCACAGCATGATAGCATGTTAAATGTTGAAGGTGGTGAACATGTTTATACTCTCAATTTGTTTATTATACATTGTATACATGCTTTTAAAGACCATTTTATAGGGACAGTTGGTGGCATGATGGTTAAAGCACTGGACTCCCACATGGCTGGCTATGGTTCGAGTCTTGGACCTGGTGGCTTGCCTTCACTTTCTCTCTCTCTATGTCTCTCTCTGGTAAGCTCATGTGCCCTATGGTAAACTTTAAAATAAAATAAAATAAGATAAAAGGGGCCAGCAGGTGGCATGGTGGTTAA